TATAAGAAAAAATAAAAAGTGGAATATAAAGGAAAGAACAAATACTGGTTTCTAGTTTTCTCTCTGAAGATATCCACTACGATATGTATCAGTAGGAATTATAACCAATAGTTTCTATAAGACTTCCCCATTAAATATAAGCTTTTCTTACTTAAGCTTATATCTCCAGCACCTATCATGGCTACTGAAGGTGCCCAATAGTGATTGGTTCAGCTGTCCAATTTGTTCCCTGGAAGTAAAATAAAGTCATCAATCAGACTTCACACATTGTAGTTCAAGCTTGCTAACTGTGACTCCTGCCTGAGGATGAAATATTCTGCCTATGGCAGAGATCCATCAGACTTGATCAGCCAATGAGGTAACAGATAAAATCTTTGACACAGGCATCTCCATGTTTTCCTAATGACTCAATTTCACTTCTTATGAGTGCCAGGTTTTGGCCTGCTCTGGGGCAGCTCACTACAATCTCACCCAGTATCTTAGACCAGGGCCAAAGTAGACCCTTCTTACTTGTGTGGTATTCCTCCATCTTGGACCTTTCAGGCGTAGGATCTGGAGGTAATAATATATTATCATAATACAATAAAATTATGATAAATAAATAAATAAATAGGTGTGCGTCATTCCATCAATTTAGGGGAGTCTCATAAGCCGAAAATTTGAAACCCGCATGGTTATTATTACTCGGAAACTAAATCCGTCTCTGGGTCCTGTACCTGCTGACTTTCAATTGACTCAAATGTCAGTCTTCCCTGTTTTCAGAGTGCTCAGAGAACGCCAGAGTTTCTATCTCCTTTCTTATTTCACAGACACAGTGATGAACACTTCAAATAGATTGCTTGATTGAATTTAAGTGAACTGGATCTTTTTGGTCTTCCATCCAAACAAAATACAGTCTCACTAAGGGTGATCGTTGAGCAATGAATGATGAGGACAGGGATGTTTCTCTGTTTTAAAACAAGGTCTCATGCAGTTTGTCTAACTCGCTAAGTAGCTAAAGATGATCTCGTTCTTCTGATTCTCCTACCACAGCCCCTGGGTGCAAAGACACATTTTGATGAGGTGCTGCTATCAAACCCAGCACTCTATATGTGCTACACAGGCACTCTATCCACTGGGCTACAACTCTACCCACATGCCATTTTATGGAAACTTTCGTAGACATAGAAACTATTCTGTTAAAGTCATTAGGATCCTGACAGGAAAATGTGTCGGTCATCTCTTGCCAATTTAAATCAAAATCAGTTCTTCAAGGTTGCCCTTTACTCTGTGCCAGGTTTGAAAACAGCATACATATGTTACATACATGTAGTGTGCCCTTCGGAATCACAGACCCTCCTGGAGGAGGCATGTGTGTGTAAATGCTTGTGCGTAGGCATGTACATACCTATCTAGGAATCCTCATGATTTCAAGTGGAAACAGCATGACCTCAACAAGACACAGCAGAGACAAAAGGAGAGTTCCTTCTGTTCACAGCTTTCTTCTCGCCATTCTTGAAGAAGGAAGGAGAATGATGCAGCCAGGAAGCTAAGTGTGTTCAAACAACGAGAAAACACTGAGAAGATCCAAGGGGGCTCGGGTGGGAAGAGCTGGGGAAAACTGTGTACCAGTCTTTTCTCTTCCAGCCCTTGGAGGGAAGATTATATTTTTTCCAGAATATGGCCTCTCTTATTTGTGTTCTCAGAGAATCAATTTTTTTCAATGTAATTGTTAGTCATTTATCTTGTTTTATTCTTTTTGCTATTGATTTATGTGTTTATCTTTATTCTTTCTCTTCCTATGTCCTTATTGTTTATTGAGGTTCTGCAATCAAATGAAATACTTTGCATATTTGTATACAAATACCTTTTATTGATAAATGATTTAGAGTCATAAATTATTCGGTGAATGCTATTTATGATGTCAAAATTCTGATAAGTAGTATTTTCAGTTCCAAGACTTTAAGGCTTTTGATTTGTTCTGCAGGAGTCAGTTGTTTAGTATCGTCAAGATGTTGAAATTAAACCCATTTTAGCTCCACATTGTCTGAGGCTTAGGGATGGAATAACAGATGCCAGTCTCATTGCAATAATTTCTCATGTTCTTTCCATGTATTTATTCATAAATATTTCCACTGCAAAGATACTTTGCAATATTAAGAAACTGTGGAATATATATATGAAGAGAGAGAGAGAGTACAACACAGAAAAACACACTTATCAAGATGCTGCAACTTGGAGAGGAAAGGCTTATTAGACTTATACTTCCAGGCCACAGTTTATCATCAAGGGATGTCAAGATAGGAACCTAAGCAGAGGCTTGAAGCACAAATCCGGAAGGATGTTGCTCTCTGACTGTCTTCCTGACTTGCTCTCTGGTTTATACGCTCAGCTAGCTTTCAATCCAAGCTCACCTGCCCAGGAATGGCACTACCTACCACGCGCTGGGCCCTCCTACATCAATTAATAAAAAAGACACTACAGTGAGTTTTCTGTGTCCAGGGGATCCATAGATTCAACCAAGCAAAGATGAAGAGTATTTTAAAATATATTGTTTGTAGAGAACATGTATGGCTCCCGTTATTCTTCCCTAAACAATACAGTACCTCAACTCCTTCTGTAGTGTTTGCCTTACATCAGGCAGTGCACTGAACTGGAAAGTGGATTATGTGCAAACACTGTACCACTTTCCATAAAGCCCTTCGGGATCTGCTGTGGTTCACAGAGACAGAGACAACTACACAGTCCAAACAGAAACTGAGAGCTTGTTCCGGTACAGGTTTAAGACGCTGGCTGTTATGGGATGTGCTCCGTGCATTTGCAGTTCTTGGGATGCTCTCTAGAGAAAACTCCAACCACAGAGGACTAGATTGATATAACGGCCCACTCTCTGGAAATCACATATATACGGAAACACTCGGATGCTCTGTCAAGGCTTAATGTTTATTTCTGCAGATAATTAAAACTCTAATTTTCCAATAAGTCTGCCCACAGATAGATGGCCATTTATTTAGCCATTCACGGATGGCTGAGTCATCCCTGGTCCCAAGCCCTAATACTGTATGAAAAGGAAATGGAAAAACACTCCGAATTGCAAGCAATCAAAATGCCACCCGAAACCAACAACACAGTTTAATTAAAAAGAGAAAATCCATAGCAATTCATTTTTTTCCTTTCTCCTCTTCACATAAGAAAATAAGAGGTAATACAGAGAAGTAATTAAAATGAAGTCTCCTTTTGCCCTCAGGGTGTCTAAGTAGAACCTTTGCCAATGAAATAATTAGCTTGAGATTTCTCATTTTTCTTCCTTTGTCCGGGGGAAATTGCTTCCGGTCTTTCTTTAGAAACAATGAGGTGCCTTGCTCTTCATTTAACTGCAGGCTTCTAAGAAGTTTAGTAATCCTGTTATTCTGTGCAAAGGTAAGATTGAAGGTTAGAAAGCCAATGTCACTATTTGATTAGGACCTTGGACTGGACTGAAAAAAGGAAAAAGCCCAGTTTCATAAACGACAGTGTAGTTCTACAACCTCTGAGGTGGAGTGATTGTCCTGAAGTTAAAAGGGGGTGCAAATGAATGACCTCAGACTATAACCTCGAACTACACTCTAGAATGTATTCTGGCAGCAAACTATGAGCAGACAAGAGGATTCGCATAGCACGAAGTACCAGTCACTCTCCAAAACTCCAAATGCATGCTACTTTCCAAAGGTGATTGGACCTAAAGAGAAAGAACGCCTACAATACAGACTTATTCAGAGGAACTGTGTCTGCTCACCCGCACACACCATATCCACACAAAAATAATACCCGCCTTGTCCCAGATTCCTTTCTGCCAGCTTTGAGAAGAAAGCATCAACCGTAGCTCCCAATTCCAGGTGACAATCCATCATTGTGGGGAAGTCAAGGCGGCAGGGCAGGGAAGCGGCTGTCACCACACATCCACACCCAAGGCAGAGAGAGGTTGATGAAGGCATGCGTGCTGACTGCTCAGCTAACTTGCTCCTCTTTAACAAAGTCCAAGATGCAAACTCAAGAAATGGCACACCCACTGTTAGACGGGCTCTTCCCACATCACTTAACATAATTAAGAAAATTTCTCAAAGGCAGACTTACAGGTCAACTTGGTCTAGACACTCCCACACTGAGATTCTAAATCATGTCAAGGTGACAAAACTGTCACACCATCCTAGAAACGAGACCTACTGGATAATACTTCACAAAGCACATGTGTGTACATTCAGAAATTGAGATAACGATAGCCTGCGAGTCCTTTCCTAACTATTCAAAACTCTCATGTGTGACTTTAGGGTATGCAAGGGATCTGACATACTTTTGTCTCCAGTAACAAATACACTAGTGAAGCTTAAAACGTTTACAGAGGCACAGTCTCCAGGTAGCTCCCTAGGAAGACAACAGAAGATGGAGATCCATCATGACCTGTCCTGTAGATAACCCCAAGCAAAGCGACACACCAAGAGTGACAGACACATGAGACAGCTTGATCACCACGGGAAACAGCTCATGTTTCAGGCCCTCCCTCACCTAGCAATCATGGTAACATAAATAAAAACAGCAAGATCCGGTTTGGTGGCCTCTGGGCCCTCTGTCTGAAGTGCATGGTGTTTTAGTTTCCACCTTTGAGGAAGAACCAAGGGCAGTAATAATAGTCTATCATGTTTTAGAGTCTCTTGGGTAACCCTGGCAAACAAACAACGTGAGAGGGCTTTTCAAGTCTAGCATGAAGGCTTTTGTTAGATAGTACGTGGTTCTTATGTAAGTAACATTATTCAGCTGAGCTGGCCACACACACACACACACACACACACACACACACACACACATGCACGTGCACACACACACACGCACCAATAACAACAGCAACAATTAATGAAAAAGGAGGCCATGAACTTGAAAGAGAACAAGGAAGCATATGGGAGGGTTTAGAGGGGGGAGAGTGAAGAGAAAATGATGTTATTACATTATATCTCAAAACAATAATTACAAAATAGCAAGAGACTCACTGTAGTACTCTGGAGTGACTGAGATCTTTCATATCTGAGTCCTCATAGTGGGGTGTGATCATCCCCAGCCCGCTGTCACTCAGCATGCGTTTCCTCAGGGAAGGGTTCCACCAGTCAGACAGCCTGGGTTAAAAATGGTACCAAAAAGTAATTGTACATCTTAGTCTACTTTTTTCTCATAACGATCTTGTTATAAATCCATTTTTATACATCTTTTATATTCATCATTTCTCAACAGTTCTGAGCTATCTGTATAATTTTGTCCTTTTTTATATTGATGAGGTATTTCATTTTGAAGATTAAGTCATTGTACTACACATGTGACATGAGTAAAGAATTAATGGAGCCAGGCACAGAAATTAACTTAGAAAATGAGAAAGCCCAACCTTGTTCTTAGCATCTTTGTTTCTGGTTTATTTCCAGAAGACACTGCTGCTGAGAAATAAGAAATCAAGGATGGATTGAAGGGCTAAAGGATCGTCAGGCCAATCTGTATTTGGATCTAACTAACAAAACTATAACCCAGGACAAAGCTATCCCTACTTGGCATTATTATTCTTTCAATAAGAGGAAAACGTCCAAAGCCACCTTAACAGATGGTTCCACTCCTCATCAAATAAACGTTGGAGTCTTTATAATGTGGGGCAGACCCTAGACACCAGCAGCTGTCTCTTCTTAGTAGGATCGTCAGACTGGATTCTCTCTGGTGATTACATTTGCTTCTGCTCTGTGGTTATAGATACACAATCTCTGTTTGTTTTGAGTGCCTGTATGTGCTCTCTTGGGCATCCTGTATTTCAGCCGTCAGGCCCATATATCTGTGAGCTGCTATCTATGAAGCTTCACAAGGACAGAGACATTTGTCTGCTTTTATTTTTGCACTATTGGCTCTCACATGTTCACAATACTATCTGGTATAACAAGTCCAAGTAAGCGCTTTTGAATTGCTAAACATTTTTAAAATAACTTAGACATTTTACAAGACGACATTTTGGTAAACTCACCACAGACCAGGCATTGCGATTTTACTCTGAACGATGATAACTGTGCTGTCAATTGTTTCCAGAAACTTCTGTGCTATGTGGGAATGCTTTTTTGCTATACTTTCCTATAAGTTTTCAGTACTGACTTAGTCTCAAGAATTCTTTAAGGATTTATTTTATTTTTTCTTTATGTGCATAGTGTGTATTTCTGTGTGGGCATGTACACATGTGAGTGTAAGTGCACACAATGCCCAGAAGAGGGCATCGGATTCCCTGAAGCTAGAATGTAATAGCATAGACACAAGATGTGAGTGCTGGGAACTGAACTCAGGTCTTTTGCAAGAGCAGTGCATGTTCTTACCTACTGAGCTATCTCTCCAGCCCCTCAAAGAGTGTTTTAGTACAGTCTTATGTGTAATTTTCCTTTACTGTTAATTAAATTTGGGGGAAATATAGCTGCTTATTTAAATGATATGCAAATAATCATTAATCACTGATATTAATAAAAACTGAGGAAAACTATGTCTATAAAATGGAACAAGTTATCTTAGCACATGAAAAGTAAAAAATAAAATCTATTTTAGCTAAAACAAAATACAGGATCTGCATCAAAAAGAATGTGGCTTTTATGTGCAAGATTAGACAAATGACTTAACTTTGAGTCTCAATTTTCTTTTCTATAGACTTAGGATAATCACAGACCCCAATTGGTAGGGTCATTATGAAATGATGAGACTATGTGACGAATGTCTACCATGAAACAAAAGTCCTTTTGCCTGTGTCAATGTAACTAGTTCTCAGAGGAGGTGATGTGCTGGCTGGTCTTATGTCAATTTTAAATAAGCTGGAGTCATCAGAGAGGCAGGAGCCTCAGTGGAGGAAATGCCTCCAGGAGATCCAGCTGTAAGGTATTTTTTTCAATTAGTGATCAATAGGGAAGGGTTCCGCCCATGGTGGATGGTGCCATCCCTAGGCTTGTGTCCTAGGTTCTATAAGAAAGCAGGCTGAGAAAGCCATGGGGAGCAACCCAGGAAGCAGCACCCCTCCATGGCCTCTGCATCAGCTCCTGACACCAGGATCCTGCCCTGTTTGAGTTCCTGTCCTGGCTTCCTTCAGTGTTGAACAGCAATGCTGAAGTGTAAGCCAAGTAAACCCTTTCCTCCCCAACTTGCTTTTTGGTCATAGTGTTTCATCACAACAATAGAATTTTTGACTAAGACAAGGTGGTATTTTTTTCCACTCACAGATGTGGAAGAGGCTTAAGAGAATTAATTCTCTTTGAAGGAAGAAGAATAATACAAGAGTGACAGAAACAATCTAGATTCTTTGTGTTGAGCAATTTAGAAGCAAGGCCAAAAAAAAAAAAAAACAGGACTAAATCACCTATGCCAATGTGTCATCTAGATAACACACCAAATAAAACCCATATAGATGCACAGATGGAAGTTTCAGTATTTCTAGCCCCCAAGAGGGAGAGGTTGTGTAACAGTAAATAAGGTTCAGACAAGATAAGAGACTGCCTGGGCATGAGGGTTCCTACACAGCCATTCAGAAGATGGCCTTACAAAACTAGATGCATCATACTTTAAGAAAACATCAATAAATCTGAATTCCAAATGTTTTTATGGCATCAGAATATCAATTCCAAAGTCAAAGGAGATATAGAAGTCATACCACAGCCAGTGGATGCTGGCACTAAGCGAGAAGAAACACACTCACCCTGAGGCCTGTTCAACCACCAGGTCAGGCATTCCTGGAGGGGTCCCTGCCTGCTGTGACACCACCATATCTGGGTCCAGAATAAAAATCTCATCATGAGAAATCTCCATCACAAAGTGCAAATGTTCCTAAGGGAGAAAACCAAGCCTGTCAGGGTGTTGACATCACCACCCTCAGAATAAGGAATGAACCGTGCAACACACCAAATAAGTCCACTGTTTCACTGGAAGTTTGAGCATCTGCCATCGCTTCCTAAATTAATGAAGTAGCAGATAGAGGACAATGGGAGAGATGACCGCCCCGGTGAAGGAGTCACACCTGACCAGGATCCTGTGAAATGGACGAGAAAAGACCTTTCCCCTGCTTCTTGCCAGGAGCAATAAGATGTAGCATCCGACAGGCTACGTGGTCCAGTACGAGCACACAACAGCTTGGACTTCTGCCCCAAAGCTAAGTGGCCATGGTTAAGAAACGGCTGGTTTTCAATGGGTTCAACACTGTATAAGTATTGTTCTAGGAAAATCTCAATAGTGGGGAGACTTTTTAGCCTTGGGTAAACATAATTTTTCCTTATTATTAAATATGGGAGAGTATTAGTAAACCAAATAAATCTACATCATCTACATATATACCAACTAAACAAAAATGCATCTAAAAAGCGTAAGCATTGCCTTGGCTGGATTACAAGTACCATGTAAATGAAAACTTAGAGTGTGATAATAATTATAACTCAAGTTATTATCTATTTTAATTGGCCATTTCATTGAGCCCAGGAGTTACAAAACATATGCAGACAAGAAGCACTGTTACACACACTGTCCTACAATCTGGGAACGCTTTAATATTTTCATTAACAAAATCTATGAGACTGACTACCAATACAGTGCACTGACTGAGAGACAGTTCGCTTTTATAACGAAGCTGGAAAGAACTTACCTGAGATCTGTCTATTCGATAAAAGCGGTCAGCGGAAGTCGCTAAGGGAAAGAATTGCACAGGACATTTAGAGTCATTTACACTTGTCATCAGATTTACACCTTTCCTTCCTGCAGCACAGTCAATCTAAACCTTTGTAACAAGCATGTTACGTCTGTGGCCAGTCCCTAAAATGATTAAAAACCATCACTTCCATGCTTTGGTCACTGCTGTTCTGAATGATGCTCCTAAGCCCTTCCAGCCATGCTGTTAGAGTTTCTCTGTATAACAGCCCTCCTAGCTGTCCTGGAACTCACTCTGGAGACCAAACTGACCTCGAACTCACAGAGATCCACCTGCCTCTGCCTCCCAAGTGCTGGGATTAAATTGTGCGCCACCACCTCCCAGTTCACATATCTTTAAACAATAACTCAAAGCTCCAGGGAAAGCAGTGCAGAGGTTCCTCCATCTTGAATTCTTGCTGAGGCCATTTCAGGCTTAACTAAAATATGATCTCCATGAAGGAGAATCCCATGGAAAATTACCCAACTCCATTCTAGGGACCCAAGGTCAAGATGCCCCAGTTAACTTAGCTACTCTTAAATTGCCTTTTTGAGCAGAACCGCCCTCCCCTCTTCAACTACCTGCTTATCTTTGCTTTTGTCAAACTACTTTCTTACACAAAGTCCTACCTGTAACTGCTGATTGAGATGCCAAGATGTGGTTTTTGACCTTCAAAAACCCTGTGCTCTGAACCCTCAGTGCTACAATTACATCCTGAGTACCCGAGTGTAGTCCCAGCTGGCTGAAATAAAGCCTTTCAGTTGGCTACAAACAGTATTTGAGTGGTCATCTCTGGTGGGTTCCCCGTAACAAAACTTTCCTCCATCCCAACTGCCTACAACACAAAGTCTATTGCTCCTAAACCCCATGTCCACTGTCATTTTGCTTAAACCCTTCACAGAGACTATCTTCAAAGAGGACTGTGGGACTGAAACCCAGCATCTTTAAAGGGCTGTCTTTTACTTATTCTCTTACGTCTCTAAGAATAAGCACAGGACTTTAACAGAGGGGAGGGCTTAATATTTTATTAAGTAAATAAACCTAGAAAAGAAATTACAGTTAGTTAGACGTCCCAGGAATGTGACTCTCATTTTGGAAAACAACTTGAAGATGCAGGCCAGAGACCACATATGGCCCCAAAAATCCATTTCCCTTCCATACTCTGCCCCTAGAGGCATGCCTTAAGGAAGCCAAATGACAAAACAAAGATTAATGTTTAAGCAATCTTGAAATGGGGTTGGGCTTCAGCTGTGATTTGAAAGAGAAAACTTCTGAAGTAAATAAAACATACGGTGTTTTTTTTAAGTTATTTGATTCCTCTTAATAAAAAAGCAAAAAACTAGGTATTTCTAATAGAGCCCAAATATGAGAGTTTTTACAAAACAGATCAAAAGCAACAAAGTACAACAGAGAAAAGGATGCAAATATTTACTCATAATCACAAAATTTCAAAAACATAACTCTCTGGCTTCCTTCAGCAGCAGATGGGAGAGGGTGCAGAGCCCCACAGCCAGACATTATGAAGAGACAGTCTAAATCAGAGGTCTCCATTGTCTCTCTCCTTGGTGCTCAGGGAATTCAGCAGAAGAGGGGGCAGAAGGATTGTATAAGCTGGAGGAGATGGAGGATACCAGAAGGCCATGGCCCGCTGAGTCAACTAAGCAAGGTTCATGTTGACTCATGGAGACGGAAATGATAATCATAGGACTGCAGGGGTCAGTATCAGACCCTCTGTGTATGTTATGGCTCATAGCTTGGTGTTTTGTGGTGGTGTTTTTCTAATAGTGGGAGGAAGTCTATCTCTGACTCTTTGGCTTGCTCTTGGGTTGCTTTGTCTAGCTTCAATATGAGGGCTTTTGCCTTACCTTATTTTATCTTGTTTTGCCGTGTTTGGTTCTTGTCTCTTGGAAAGGCCTGCTCTCTTCTGAACCAGGGGAGAGGGTAATTTGCAGGGGAAAGGGAGGGATGGAGTAGGGAAAATCTAGTCTGGATGTATTGTGTGAGAGAGGAATATATTTTCAATTAAAAAGAAAAAGAAAAAAGTAACTAACTCTCTGAGGAAACTGGACTCAGAAATGAGAGAATGAAAGTCCTCCTTAAAAACATAAATATAAACTGAGCAGTGGTGGTGCACGCCTTTAATCCCAGTGCTCAAGAGGCAGGGGCAGGTGGATCTCTGTGAGTTCAAAGCCAGCCTAGTCTACAGGAGCTAGTTCCAGGACAGCTAGGACTGTTACACAGAGAAACCCTGTCTCAAAAATCCAAAAAAAAAAAAAAAAAAAACCCAAAAAACAAAACCAACAAACAAACCAAAAAACCAAAACTTAAGTCTAAAACAATCTAGTCCCAGCAGGATTTATTATTCTTCTCTGTTCTTTCAACTATGACTTCAGCCTTGGTATCAACCAAGAATTAGTCACAAAAGATTTTTAATACATAAACATATCATCTTGTATGCTAACTTAAAAATTAAAAACAAATGTTCAAAACAATAAAGAAAGGTTTACAATACAAGTCTCATATAGCAAAGACAGTTTTATAGTTAAAACCATTATCCATAATACAATTTTATCTAAGCATATATGTGGAACATAATGACTTGTGTAAATATTTTCTCGATTTTCTTAGATACATACTAATTCCTTGTGCCTTTGGGAGTGAGAAATGATTGTTCCCACTGCTATGGATTAACAGGAATTGGAGGGAAGTCTTCAGTCAGATGAGTTGGGAATGAAAGCTATATCCTGATTGATGTGTGCTGGATTTGGTAGATACAAAGTGCCTCTCTCTACAACTAATCCATATCCATTTACCCTCAATCCCCTCCCTCCACCAGCATCCTCTCAGATGGACACACTAGTATACAAAAGGCTATCTTCAAGGAAACTATATCTTCATGCAGACAACAGAAACGTCAGCTAGCTACAGTGGATGGTAGCAAGAATGTATAGAGATGAAGATGTATTGCAGCACAGATAATTAGGTGGGAAATTGAAATTCCACAACATCTAGGGAAGTGGAAATGCATGAGATGGCAAGCGGACTCCTCACACAATCGCACAGTAACTAACCCCATTATGTGTGCAACATGTCACATTCAGCAGAAAAGTTAACAGATGCAAGTGAAACTCCCAGCTTCCCACAAATGCATGCAGCCTTATAAAACTAATATGAACACTCCACAGCGTGGAGATAATTCAGGAATGAGTGGCTATTTTGTGATTACAGACTGTAGTTTCTGGCCCACACTAAGCTGGGGTTAGGCACTCAAGACGATTAGGAAAAAGATAATGGAAAATGATAAGGTGGTAAAATGGAAAATGTCAGTTTAAACAAGTTGATGCTGAGGTGCTTTGAGGGAAATGACTTCAGGAAAGGTCCAGGGACATCCGCAAGCCTACATCATTGGAATGTAAATGCCAATGACAGCAAGGCTTTGGGAACCAACTTTGTGAGAAGCTGCTGTGGCAGTCACACCTTGTCCTGCTGCCTCCCCAGCCCAGTCCCAGGCAGGTCCCCAAACACTCACCATCTAGGAAGCACCACCGAGGGGACAGCCTCTGAGCTGAGAGCGCCCTGGGGAAGGAGGTTTCTTGGTCCTAGAAAGAGAAGCACAAATTCTCATGGTTCCAGTTGAATGACAAAAGGGCTGCCCTCCCTCCTCTTCCTTCGTCACAGACTGGGAGTGAGCAGTCTTTTCTCAGGGCACTACCAGAGCAAAGAACAAACTCCCTCACAACCCTTCCAAGAGAGATTCCAGGGTTGCATCCAATATTGAGAAAGGACCTATGCAGAGGCTCACTTGAATTGGAGAAGATGCATTACTTTCCTGCCCTTAGTGAAATGGAGAAGCTACCTGCGACTTACATTTCCTTCCCTATGTCAGTAAAAGGATGAACACAGATAAAATGGGAAAGGTTTGAACTTTCTCCACCAGTCAGACAGGACTCAGAGTGTGGAAGAGACAAGAGAAGTCATGTATAGGTAGTGCTATATCTACAGGAGACTTGGGGAGCAAGTACTACACAGAGAAGAATCCAAGTTCATGCTGTGTTGAGTCTGCCTCTGTCTTCAGCCCCGCCCATCCAAGATTGCAGGATGTAGGAAAGGAATCACTGTGTCAGGCTGTTCTTTTGGAAACTCGTCTGTCCCCCACTGAGCCACTAGCAATGTGCACCTCTACCTGAGGATTCTCTGGGCTTCTCACTTCAAAGATAGCCAATACTGAATCTTACTTGAGCCAGAGGCCATCTCATATAAATGCATTCTGTCCTCTAGCTTGAGATGAAAACAATTCCTCTCCAAAATTCAACATTTTGTAGTTACCTCCATCTTCCCAAGAAACTTCCTTTCTGGAACATTATTAAAATCCACTCTGCTACTCTTGAACCCAAGTCATTCTCTCTGCGTCAGTTTCCTCTCTCTAAAGGCAAGTGTCCCTCAATCGATCCTACTTCATCTTCTGATGTCCTGCCAAACTCCTGGAACATGCAGCCTGTCCCTCTCACTTTCAACTCCCAGGTACACATTGGATCATCCCTAGAAATAAATCTTTCAGAATCTTCCTAGAGAGTGCCAAGAACACCCCCTCACTATCTGAGTTAATATTCTGGGTCTTTGAAGGACTTGCTTTCTTTACTTTTTTTTTATTTTTCAAAATTAAAAGATAATAACATCATTTCCCTATTCTCTTTTCTTCCCCCAACTACTCCAATGTACTCCCCTCTCTGCTCTCTCTCCAATTCATGGCCTCTAGCCTCTTTTTCTAACAAGCACATCATGTTACTTGTAGGTATATAATTTCAGAGACAACCATTAGGTGGTAGATAACCAGTCTGGGGGCAGATACCCAGGGTAGACTATTTTTAGGCCCTCGGTGTTCTTTGACTGCCTGGAGTTCTTTGTTTATCTTTAGTCCATTAGCAAGGATGACATCTGTTGGTGTCTTCCAGGTGGAGATTAAACTACAAGGACAGAAGAGCACACTGCAGCCCGGAAGGTAGAAGAGGGAGGATTGACTCCTCGTGTTTCCAAATGTGCAAAAGTTGAGATGCACCCCACTGATGATTCCTGGGGAGGGGTGTTTATTGCTTTCAACAACACGACTCAGAGCCGTCTAATACTGGCTAGAGTAAAAGTGAACTCATTGACAGAAACGGCACAAGTAAGGATGACCAGCTCTCTGTGGGAAGACACAGGGACCTTGACTGCTATTGACAATTTTTAAAAAGTTTCTATTACAGGGAATGCCTACAGAATGCAGATATGCTGAATATAAGGTAGACTTGGCAGTGGAAGCCATGTGTGTGGCTAGCCTGGTGTATACTGATGAGACAAGGAAGGAAAAGGGAAATAGCACAGGAGAAATGATGAGAGCCAATCAGAAGCCATCCGGACTTCCTCCTGGAGTTAGGAACAGCAAGCAGCACCAGTGGATGGCTGTTAGTATAGAGGCTGCAGCTCTGCAGAAAACTGCGGGGGGGGGGGGGGGGCACAATCTGTTTAACATGTTGTTTGGATGAATCTGGTGCGTGATGAAGAGCCATGGGTCTTAGCGGAACAAAAGAGATCCATCTTACCACTAGAAAACGTATCTAGACGTAGTGTTCTGCTCAAATAGATTGTACAAATCAAAGATTGATAGAGGAATGATTGGCCTCCCTTTGGGCTGTCACAAAAAATATATCTTTATGCATCTGATTTGCTAAAGCTATAGAGGCAGATTTTGAGCCGGCTTTGTCAACTTGCTGGCTGAGCTAAGTGAAATCTCAGCATTTGTTCAGTATCCATGTTTATGAGAACTATGCTTAATGCTTTGAGAATTGTATTTTGACACATGCTATCTGGATCTAAAGAAACTTAAGGTCTTTAATATATTTTTATAAAATGTGTTAGGCCACCAACACCTCGTAGGTTTTGGTAAAAGAAAAAAGATGACTATATGCCAAGAAATCTGAAATGATTTGAAATGTTTATGGGTAGCTGTGAAAAACTAATAAAGACATTAAGCAAAGATAACTGTCTCCTCAAAGAATAGAGTGGCTCAGACACCCAGCGTGCTTTCTGAATCGTAATACTATTTTCTGTAAATAACATTCAACAGAATGAGTATTGACGCACCTGACTTTTATTTTTAAAATATAAGGATATGCAATGTGCTCCCCCCCACTACACACTAAATACACGTAAGAATACTTGTGAAAATTTTGTGCTAATTTGATAGGACCATGTGCACATTCATTTTCCAGGAGAGATGAACTCAATTTTCTACAGACTATCAGAGTAATCTCAGATTCCTGCAAGGCTAAAATAATCTAAAATTCCTATTCAAATAATCCAAAATTTAGGTAAGAAGAAACTCAACACAATAAGAATAACTAGATCAGTAGAAACACCTTAAAATATCCCAGGAATCAAAAGCAGGAACTGCTGCTTCAAAGCTGAAGGGAATTCAAGGTTGTGGCTATTCCCTTAGTGGGAACTTGAGGCAGTTTCTGTCCTAGAAGGAGGCAATGGCCTCTTCAGGCATTCTCATCACAGCCCCTGCAATCTATTTGCATTTAGAGCCTTAAGTTTCTCTATATTGTCATTAATGTTTTAATTGCATCTATTGGCTTTCTGCGTATGGGTGTTTTGCCTGCATGCATTTCTGTGCACCATGCGCATGCCTGGTGCCAATGGAGACCGGAAGAGGACATTAGATCCTGTGAGACTGAAATTGCAATCAGTTGTGAGATGCTATATGGGTGCTAGGAAGTATACCTGGTGGTCTTAAATATTAATCCACCTCTCCAGTCTCTTTTATTGTCTTTTTTAAAGGAGAGAAGATTTAGATTGAATACAATATAGCCTTAATAAATGAAGTTGAGTAGTATATCATTAATGACAATATAAAAATCTGTGTTAAGAAATCAATTTTACTGAAAAGGAAATGAAATACTTGCTTGGTGAACGAAGATCTGGCTGTAATTTTTGGAGGCGGTTAGAAAAACAAAAATAGAGACCTGACTCCTCTGGGATGCTACCTTGAAACAGTTATGTATTCTCTCTAAGTGAGCTCATAAAAGAATAGCTATTAGCATAATGAGGTCTTATGCCATGTCATTAGCAGTCCAAAGAAAATGTAATTAATATATTCTTAGATATACACTGAAATTAACTACCTATTTTTTTTTTTAAAAAAATAGTGTACATGTGGAGAGCAGAGGAGAGAGCTCAATGGGCAAAATGTTTGCCTTGCGAAGACAAGGACCCAAGTTCAGATCTTCAGCACCAGGGTAAAAGCTGGACGTCACAGTGTGTTCCTGTAACTGTAGCACGGAGGGGCGGAGACATGTATTGTGGAGCTCACTAGCAGGCCAATCTGGCTGAAATGGCAGGCTCTAGGTTCAGTAGAAAACCCTCCTTCAAAAATTAGGATGAAGAAGTGATAGAGGAAGACATCCTGCCATCATTCTCTGGTCTACACATATGACTACAAAGGAATCATACCTGCACACACACACACACACACACACACACACACACACACACACACACACATGCACACTCATAGATATGCCATATACACACAGAGAAAAACTTACAGATCCAAAAAAATGTGTAAAGTTATAAAGTCTTATAACTGGGAGTGCTAGTATATGATGGTAATCCAAACACTTGGGAGGTGGAGGCAGGAGGATCAGAAGTTCAAGGCCAGCCAGTTTTATGTAGTGAATTAAAACCAGCCTAGGCTACATGAGACCCTGGGTCAATAAAAAATGTAAACAACAAACAAACAAAGCCATGAAATCTCAACAAAATTCTGTCCTTGACACACTGAGACAACAAAAGTTGGAACTTGCCTTGAATTGTGTAAAAAATAATGTAGTGGATCAACAAAATATAAAACATATGCAGGCGATCAACCAACACCCTATAAACAGAAAAACAGTGACAAAATGTATAGGTGCTGGGGCAACTTCTCATTAACCAAGGGAAACCTAGGGTGGTGGTCACTGGCATTTATTTGAGTTGAATGAGAAAAAATTATTTATGGTGGAGAACACTGCTTTCGAAAAGCTACATGAAACCACCATCATTATCATCATTATTGTGAAAGAGTTAATGTAGCAAAAAAAAAAATTCTGTCTTTGGGGTATTTAAATGTCACAGGGAGATGAACAAGGAGAGAGAGAGAAAGGCAAGAGACCATCCATGATCCAGCTTCAGTTAAGTAGCAAGACCAGAGAATCAGAACCCTGGTCTCCAGAATGCCAGCTTTGAGGGTTTGACCAATCCCAGCCCCATCAACCACCAGCTGAGAATATTTGGAGAGGACTCTTAGCTAGTATGTGTCTTAAATGCTTTTTTTCTTAAATGTTTGTACAATGGCCCTTGTAGCATTTAATCCTGAAGTATTACGGAGAAATAAATGAATTGTGTAAAGCGTTTGATTGTCGTCAGCTCCACGCTCATTTGTACTTGCAAACATCTGAAGCCATCAATGCCCAGAGAAAAGAAATAAAATCCTGTCGCCTAAGGCAATTTCACCTTTAGTCACATGAGGAGCTCATGGGACACTGGTTATACTCCCAACCAGACCCTGTACATGGTGCTG